GAAGATTTTACAAAAATTACAACATCGAAATTTATCGGATGTATCGAAAAATGTTCAAGATTCAGTCAATTCAGGATCAATTCATTCTTCGCTTATTTCTTTAATATCGCGATATGCTGATGAATATGTTGATGAATATGTTGATGAATATTCCGATGATGATAATGAGTATTCAGATGAATATGTTGAAGAAAATGCTGATTTGAGCAATAAATCTAATCCTTCTCATAGACCTGCTTCCAAACATACCGTTACATTTAGTAAATTAATGTCATTCGGTTCTATTAGAGGGAAATTGAATCGTCAACGTAGCGTACGACATATTCGCATGTTAAGTGAATTAAACATTCCTGTTCCTGATGCAAATGATCCAATTTTATTTGAATCTAGCGTGCAAAGATGGAATTCTTCTGTATTTAAAAAATCTTCAAATAATTACCTTGTCCTTACAAGTAATTGTCTTTGTAGCTTTAAAAATGTTGAGAAAGCTGCAAAAATATTTGCTGGTCTAACTCATAATCATAGCACTGACGACGATACTTCTTCAGATTCCAATTCTGAAAACGTAACTAAAGCTTTACCATCGGAAAATATCATTCTTTCATTACCCACAGTTTATGCCATATCCGAACAACTAACACCTGAACCTTATATTAGAATTGATTATATATCGGGTCCTAAAAAGCATGCTCAAGTTACAATCACACCCAAAGACCTCCAAAATCATAATCAATGGCTTTCAACGATAAGAGCCACAGTGCGTAACGCGAATGCCGTAGGTTCTTATTTAACGCTGAGTCAACGTAAATGGATCATGTCAAAATTAAAATTGTCACAAGATTTATCCGATGAGAACGAAGAGAATTTAGTTGCTTTTCGTGTTATATTAAAATCAATAATCGATGAAGGTTCTAGGAAAGAACACGATAAAGATCCAAAAGTTACAATCTTTCTCATTTTAGGGAAAAGCAATGTTTACTTCATTCCATGTAGTTTAGTTGGAAATGAGTTGTTAAGTGATGAAAATGGAATGAAATCAGATCGAAATATTGAAGATACCAAGTCAAAAGATGTCGAATTTCATAGATATAAATACCCCTTGTTATGTCTCACGGACATAGATTCAGATGGAAGAGATGATTCCTTTCAATTAACATTTAAAAATAATATGGGGTCCATGAAAAGAACTTTGTCACTTGGTTCTCTCTTGGTGGAAAATATTATAACTGAAATTCGCACAGCGATCGATTCTATTACATTTTGGTGGCCAAGCCCCGGTTATCAATTAAGGGCTCCGACAAATATGCAAGCAACGATTGTACCCCCTGAACCTGAGAGCGATAAAGCCTCACAGGTCTTGGGGCTTGAAAGAATGATTGAAGCTCAATGTCATGCCAATCTTGTCAATAAAACAAGGATTACTTTCAAAATTGAATATGTAGTTGGAGCCAAAAGTACCTTTATAGGATTAGGCATCGGCCATTTACCCTTTAGATTTATCCTTCTCCCCCCTGCATCTCAATCACCTGACTCACATTTAGAGCAAGAAGCTACTTATTCAAATCAAGAGTTAATAGCGATTTTTAATTCTCTTAAATATCATCCACTTTTACATGAAGTAATTTTCCGTCATACAAACCTTTTTGAACTTCAAATTCAACAAGGACCTAAAGAGCATGAAGGAATGAATATGCTTGCCGCCGTATTATATGACCTTTTATTATCCAATCCAAGATTAAAGAAATTGGATTTAACATCTTGTGGAATTACAAGTGAAACAGTTTCGGCAATTGGGAAAGCCCTCATAACAGGACAATCATGCTTAGAATGTTTATTATTGGGAGGAAATTCAATTAGGGAGGAAGGGGCTCAAGCATTAGCTAGTGGATTAACTGGTCATAAATCAGCCATTAAAGAATTGGATATTTCAAATTGTAAATTAACCAATGATTCGGTTGAATCAATCTTTCAAGCCTTGGATACAAATGTTCCCGGTGAATTAGAGGTTTTAAATATCTCAAATAATACCTGTGATTTGGAAACAAATGTTTTAGCGGAACTTTTGTCAAAAACCGTATCGCTTAGAACATTAAATTTACGTAATTGTCAAAAATCCTTTACTCATAAAAATCCTTTAATATCGGTGGAAATTTTAGGTAACGTTGTTAACCTTACAACTTTAGATTTAGGAGAGATTTCACTTAATAGTCGTGATCACTTGAGTGCGTTATACGCATATATTCAATCGCCGGCATTCGCCAAAATACGATATTTAAGTGTGGATCATTGTGATTTGGATGGTGGAGCGGTTTCTCTAATATTATCATATGTCACAACATCACCAAATTATGAAAAGATAAGAGTTTGGGCAGGAGGAAATTATGTAACGAGATCCTCACAAGGTTTTAAAGAATTTATTAATGCGATTAGAAATGGTTGGACTCCAATATGGCTTTCATTGGAGGATACGATATTTGGATTAAATCTTGACATGATCATTGATATTTTACAAGCATTTTGTGAAAATACTGTTGTACAATATTTAGATCTATCTTATCCAAATTTTAGTTCACATAAAGGTGCATCATCTGGTCCGCAAATGCAAATGGTTGCAAGGAAAGCATGTGAAGCTATCGGAAACTTATTTAAAGAAAATAAGTCAATAAAAAGATTAGATTTGCACGGAGAATCTGGAAGAAGGTTCGGTTCTTTACTCGGTGAAAGTTTATCTGGATTGAAAGAGAATAACACTTTGGAAAAATTGAATATTAAAGGAAATGCCATAGGTGATAATGGTGCTAAAGTGTTAAGCGAAGCTTTGAAATTCAATAAAACATTAAGAGCTTTAGGTTGTGATGAGAATGAGATTGGTATTGAAGGGTATAGCGCAATTCATAAAGTCCTTACCAACGGTTTAAATATGACATTACAACAATTCTCATACCCAACACAAGACTTACGAACCTATAATGAAAGTCTAGATGCAAAATTAATGGTTAACTCACGTGATACCTTATTCGGTCCTCCTACGGCTAAAATGAGTCAGAGAATTGCAGCAGAAAAGCAAAAGGGTAGTTTCCTTGAAATTGTAGAAGAAATTATGTTGGCAGTTGATGAAGGTGCTTCTGAAAGTAACTCTAACACGGATGACAATAAATCAACTAAAAGTACGACCTCTTAATTTTTGGTGTTCAAATGGGTTTGGGAATTGCATTCGTTTTAATATATTTCGAGCTTTTTTTTTTTGTTTTGTATTTTTTTTCTCCTTATTTTTTTGACTTTATTTTTTACACGTAATATATATTTTAAAGAAAAGTTATCTTTTTTTTTTTTTTTTTTTTTAGAAAATTATTGATAATATTGTTTTTATAATGTATTGTATTTTATTTTACGTACAAAAAGAAATTTAACTTATTTCATAATATTAATAAACAATTTCACACAAATATTACATTTAATTTTAGCGAAAAACTGGAGTTTTTCTTTTTGTAAATTGATGAGAAAAGACGCACAATGGCAAATATCCCATTAGAAGGATTTGATTAACATAAAAATCTCCAAGACTGGGAATTTTTTAACAAAATTGAGATTTTTTTTATTTCAATTTACATTTTAAGCAATTTCTTTTTCGGATGAAAACAAGGTTCTATCAATATCTCGATCCATAATTTTGAATTTTACCACACAAGTTTTAGAGATATAAATTTCATTTTGAATAATGATGTGCTCCAAGACGTTGGCGAAATTTATAATGTACCCAATCAAGTATTTGCCAGCCTGTTTTTTCTTGTTTTTCAATTTGTCATATTTGAACACTTCAATGTTAGAATGATGATAGCATCAAATTCACAAATGAAAAATGAAACTGCTTTTCTATGTAGTTTATTTTGCAAATGAAAAATTTTTCGCCTCATACATGCCAATGCTTTATTAAGTTTTTTTAGCCTTTTTATGCGTTTGAAAGTTGACCTGTTAAACTTTTTGTGATATAAATTTGTCCATGCCATGTAGGTACAAAGACAAATAATGCGTCCAATGCATGTTCACCTACCTTTTGTTAGAAAATACCATGTGAATAGTGTTCTAACTTCAGGATCAATAGAAACTGCATGAATATCATCCGCTTGGATTTGCAGAGACGATTTTGTATCTCATAGACCCATGAAAATTCCACTCATTCGTTTGACGAAAATAAGTAAGCTTGCTATCACAAGAAACCTTATGGGAAATAATATGCCATTTATTATTTTTACGATTCTTTTCAAAATAAAGATAAGCTTATAGAAATATGAAGTAGTATGCAGGTAGGTGATGTAGATATGGATCTCATAGTAAAAATGAAAAATCTTGGCATGTTGAGTATTTTGCTTAATAAACTCATTTCTAATAGTTAAAGTTTTATTAATTACTTCATCAGTTATATTTGCAAAAGCAATATTTAATGTTTTACATAGTAGCATCCCTAAATAAATTACTGCTCTCAAAAATTTATCTTTTATTCAGATTGCTAAATTGATAATTTACTTTATTAATATTTATTTCAATTCAGATGTCATTAAAGTCTTTGTTAATAAATTATAGGATCTATATATTTCTTATTTTGATGCTAATCTTTCTTTATGAAATAATACATTTTGCTTACAAAAATTTATAAGCAAATCTTATCAAACCTGTCTAATATTTAAATAACTATTTTGTAGAATAGTTGTAATACATAAAGATTAATAGTATAAAATTGAGAGTTTTTTCTTAACATTTTTATTTGATATATAGGTTGATTGCTAGGAAAATCAAGTTCTGGGAATTTTTTAACAAAATTGAGATTTTTATTGCATTTTAGTTTTTGATATTATTAGATTAAAATGTATTAAGCTCTTAATTTAAGTGAAAAATTTCTCAGAACCTGATTTTCCTAGAAACCCTCCCATATGTTCTTATTGTATTAGCTTTTTTTTTTTTTTTTTACCTATTTTGATATTCTTATTTAATATATAGTAATTCTTTTTTGCATTCAATAGATAAAGATAATATTGATTATAAAAATATCTTGGAAAGTTCATACTTATAAAAAGTCATATTATTAAAGAAAATTATAAGATTTATAATATAAAAGAAGAATATATACTAGATAAAATCAAAGGTAAACTAGTAGAGTTAATCATAATAGGTAACCACAATTTTTAAAACTATTTTATAATTTATTCATTCTAATAAGATTTTAATCTTAATTATTTGAAGTTGCAAATATTATTAATGAGTTTATAAATTAAATATTAAGAGTTAAGGAGCTTTATTATTCAAGATTTTCTTTTTATTAAAGAAAATTTTTTTAATAATAACTGCTGTAATAATAATAATAGTAATAGTTATAGTAATAGTAATAATAGTAATAGTAAAGATATAGTAATAGTAGTGATAATAATAATAGTAATAATAATAATATTATTATTATTAAAATTTTGTGTAATCAACTTTGGATAAATAAAAAATATATTGTAAAATAAGACTATAAGAAGATATTTTAGCAGTAATTTTTTTTACTTTAACTAATAATATAAGTTATTTAATAAAATACTAAATTTTTTAATTGTATAGTAAAAGAACTTAAAATTTAATATAGTGATAAATATTTATCATATAATATAATATTTAAATTCCTTATAAATTTTTATCTAATTATAAACTAAATATATTGTTATTCATATTAAAAAATATTTATATTTTTGCTAAATAATAGCAATTTCTTAATAATATAAAGCATTTTTTTACTAAAATTTTAATAAATATAAATATAATAATAAAGTAATTAAAATTTATTTATATAAAATATATAAAACTATAAAATACTTATAATAATTATAATTTAATAGATATAATATCATATCTTAAAAAAAATTAATAAATATTTAATGAATTAAATAATTAAACTTTTTTAATTTTATAAAATATTAATTTATTAAATAATTTAATACTTCAGTATTATTAAGTATTAATCATATTATAAAAAATTAAACTTTGCTTCTAATTTTAATTTAAAATTTATATATTATATAAAAATAATATAAAATTAACCAAATAAAAATTATAACTAACTTATCTTATAATTAATACAATTATTTATTTTATAATATTTATTATTAATTACTACCTTTATTAATTGATTTTTTACAAATAATATAATTAGAGTTTCAGACGAGTCGAGTTAACTTACGAGTCAGATAAGCCGAGTCGAGTTTAAATTGAGTTGAGTTTATGTTTTTTTTAATTCGATGATTTGCGAGTCAAGCTAAATTCAAGTTGAGTTAAATATTTGACTCGACTTGATTTAAACTCGACTTGATTTGAGTTGACTCGAGTTGACTTAAACAATTTCTTTTATCGTTTAAGAAGAACGATGATAAATCATTTGATTTGAACGATTTCTTTTATCGTTCAAGAAGAATGATGTCAAATCGTTCAACTTGAACGATTTCTTTTATTGTTTAAGAAGAACAATAATAAATCATTTGACTTGAACGATTTCTTTTATCGTTTAAGAAGAATGATGATGAATCATTTGACTTAAACGATTTCTTTTATCATTTAAGAAGAATGATGACGAATCGTTCGACTTGAATGATTTCTTTTATCATTCAAGAAGAATGATGACTGAATCATTTGACTTGAACGATTTCTTTTATAGTTCAAGAAAAATGATAACAAATCGTTCGACTTGAATGATTTCTTTATCATTCAAGAAGAACAATGACCGAATTGTTCGACTTGAACGATTTCTTTTATCGTTCAAAAAGAACAATAATCGAATTGTTTGACTTGAACGATTTCTTTTATCGTTCAAGAAGAATGATGACTGAATTATTCGACTTGAATGATTTCTTTTATCGTTTAAGAAGAACGATGACTGAATTGTTTGACTTGAATGATTTCTTTTGTTGTTCAAGAAGAACGATGACCAAATTGTTTGACTTGAATGATTTCTTTTATCGTTCAAGAAGAACGATGACCGAATTGTTTGACTTGAACAATTTCTTTTATCGTTCAAGAAGAATGATGACCGATTTATTCGACTTGAACAATTTCTTTTATTGTTCAAGAAGAACGATGATGAATCGTTTGACTTGAACGATTTCTTTTATCGTTCAAGAAGAATGATGACTGAATTGTTCGACTTGAATGATTTTTTTATCGTTCAAAAGAACGATGACCGAATCGTTTGATTTGAACGATAAAAGAAATCGTTCAAGTAGAACAATGACCAAATCATTTGACTTGAATGATTTCTTTTATCGTTCAAGAAGAACAATGATGAATCGTTCAACTTGAATGATAATCTAAATCATTCGACTTGAATGATAAAAAAAATCATTCAAGAAGAACGATAACGAATCATTTGCTCTTTCCCCCCATCTTTTCATTTTTTTTTATTATTTTTTTTCAAAATCGAATCAAGTTAAAATAAAGTTGAGTCAAATTGAGTTGAGTTTAAAATTTATATAACTCGAATCAAATCAAATTGAAAGATTTTATAAAATAAAT